GGGGGGGGGGGGGGGGGGGGGGATTTCTAGAGGGGACAGACAAGAGTGTGAAAGCACAAACGAACTGACAACACTGTTAACTAATGCGGAAAGCAAGATACAAGACAAGCATTGATCGATCATGCATGTGTTCATGTTCATTTACAGACAGAAAACTATAAAATCTGGGTTGTACATTTGGCTCCAGAGACCTTAAGGTTGATGAATTTCTTGTCAGAAAATCGTTTGTGACAAACCCTGACCCGCCATGTTTGTTTACTATGTACCAGCGATACATATTCATAAGGAAACTTCTCAAATAGCATCTGAACAAGTGAATAGTATTTGTATTATCAAAGGTAAATTAGGCAGGATTTGCCAATGTATGTTCTAATTTCCATAGTAATTAACACACAAAACAATTGAAATTTTTGTTCCTTCTGTTCACTAGTTAAGTCGAAAACTAGTTGCAAAGTTGCGACTGAATTGGAGGAAGTTTTAGTCATTTAGTCAAGAATGCATGTGATCGTAATAGTCATAATTTGAAACCCTGTAGACAGTTGGTAAACTTCTGGGAAGATGTAAAAGTGTCAAATCACTTTCATTGGAAGTCTTTGGGAGTCAAACTTGGATTCCAGATGGTTGAAGTAAAAAATGGAAATCCAGAAGGGAGGGGGCAGGTTAGTGATTTTGGAATTTGGAGGGCATGGGAGATAGAGTATTTTGAAATTTCCGAAGGCAAGGGGGTGTTAAAATTTTCATGCTGCCCGTGGTAGGATATGGATATTTTCTGGAATCACCCATTATAGCATCACATGAAATCAGGCCTGCCAGTTAGTCCATAGGCTCTGGGAGTGTGTCATACATTGGCTAGCACCTTGCTTGCAGGGTCAAGCCCTGAGCAGGATCAGTGCACTGCGTTCCTGGGCAGGACACTTTACTCTCACAATACCTCTCTCTACCCGGGTGTCCAAATGGGCACTTGTTGGGGGTAATCCTGCCATGGTCTTGCCTCCCATCTTCAGGGGTGGGGAGGTAGGAATTTTCCTAGTTACTTCATACCCAGGAAACCAGAGATAAGTAACAGCCTAATGGGCCAAGTCAGGCTGAAGGGCAGACTTTACATGGAGTAACTATGGATTTAACTGCATTTCTTTCCAAAATTAATCATTTTATAACCAAAATCATTACTAATATACCAGAGATTTATTGTATGCTGGTATTGAGAAAAGTTAAAGCATAATATTTCATTGCTCTCCTGGCTCCGTCATGATATAAATATTTAAACTGCATAACTAACTACTACAGAAGTTATATGATGGTGAGATCTCCTTCAAGATTTTTGTCATTACAAGAATTATCATTTTTAGAAAATGTACAATGTAGCTCAGTGGACCCTGGTTCAAGAGATCAGAGTTCATTTCCTGGATGGAATCTTTGTGATTTTATTGTGAATTGCTCTCTTTTCTTGCACATGTAAAGTTATGCAACTGTGAGAATTAATCTTTACCAGCCTTGCTTGATCCATGAGTCTGATACTCTCCAGAAAACTGTAAGCAAGGGTAAATTCAAACATTCTGTCAGTAACCCGGGGTGGAATAGCAGCTCTTATTAGATGGTGCTATCTTGCCTGCTCGGCATTACCCGCTATGTCCCGCATGAAAATAGTGCTCTTTTTTCCATATAATAAATCCTTTATTGACCAAGCTTGTTCAATCAAAATGACTGTATATTGACCTCGTTCTATTTTTGCATGCTTATGGACCTCAACTCCATCTCAGTCCATAAACATGCAAAAAAAGAACTTGGCTAATATCCAGCCATCTTTACCTCACTCTTGGTCGGTAACCCATATATCTTGCCAGAGTGGGAGCTAGAGTTAAACTTGACCTGTTAAACAACCTTCATGTTCTGTAGGCATAAGAGAGTAATCTGATGTTTTTAATATTCCATTTTAAGTTGGATGTTTTTATTTAATTCTTAGTCTTGAGTGCATCCTTTCGAGGACGTGGTCTTCAGGGTTGTGTTCTTAATTTACCAGCGGGATACACTGGGTACGTGATGAAAGAGGAAAAGAGACCATTTACTGATGAAGAGGTAAGAACTAAGTTTCTAGACAATCTTTAGACAGGTCTTGAGGTCACAAATTACAATAAACAACTTTACATGTAGTGTCTACTGTTAAGAGGCTCTCTCTAATACGTTAGCCCTGTTTTGGAGAGGTCTTCTTTATTTGAAACATATTTCTGATGCACTAGTCAACTTTTGCTGGGATTATTTTTAGGAACGGGTGATGAAAGCCACTCACAAGTTCTCACAGTTCACTTACTGGAACTTAGAGACTCCACCATCAAATAATGATGCTATTGTCAAAGCCATTCAATGGATAAATATAGCCTCTGCAGTAAGTAATGGAAATTATGTCATTTACACATATGAAAACTACATTTGAAAGTGCATGCATATATAATAATATTATTATGAAATAGATTCCATGTTATTGTGCACCTGTTGAGTGATAGATCACAGATGACATCAAAATGTGATAAGAGCGAAAAGTGGTACACTCACCATTAGCCAAGTTTGTCACTGATGTTTTTACCACATTTTGACGTCTTCTGTGATCTGGGACTGAACAGACGCCCGACAACATGGAATCTATCTGTTTTATATAGTGAAGAAACCAAAAAAATTGGCAATGACGTCATCTGTATGTCTGTCCTCCAATAGATCATAAGTAAAATCCAATCAAAATGCGAGCTAGGTGGCCTCATGGTTAGTGCACTCGTCTCTGGATTGAGCGGTCTTGGTTTGAGCCCTGGCTGGGGACATTGTGTTATGTTCTTGGGCGAGACACTTAACTCTCACAGTGCTTCTCTCCACCCAGGTGTATAAATGGGTAGCAGCAAATTTAATGCTGGGGGTAACCCTGCAATGGACTAGCATCCCTACCAGGAGGGAGAAGAAATACTCCTAGTCGCTTCTTGCTACAGAAACCAGTATAAGCTTCGGCCTGATGGGCCACTTGGCTCGTATGCAGACTTTACCCTCACCAGTATTACTGTACATGAAAATTACTTGGCCCGCATTAACCAAGCAGGAGTTCTGTATTGGAGAATCCTGACCGAGGTCATGAGTACAGACCAAATGCAGTGAAGTTTGTACACATGACCGAGGTCAAGATTCTCCCATACAGACTGACTAAGCTTGGTTAGTAAGATATTATATGTCAAACAAGAAAAATTTAATTCATTTAATGTAACTGGTTTATACTAGCTGATATCTTGCTTGCGAAGGGTGATGAGCTGCTCATCCTCTTTTTTCTCATCATTCCTTTTGGCACTTCCATAATGTGAATATTTTTTAGAACTAATACCAGAAGAAAATAGTCAATATTTTTGTATTTTAGTTTGCAACTTTTTCACCGCAAAATGTAACCGGTCTAGATGCCAGAGTCAACATTGATTTCAGCCAATCAAATTCGTGAATTCTGTAGTTCCCAGTCCTTGTGAGACACAGCCATATAATAAATACAAATATTGAACAAACGAGTTTGACTGAGTGAGTTTTATGATCCACCTCAAAAAAAAAAAAAAAAAAAAA